AAAAAAAAAAAAAAAAAAAAAAAAAAGAAGAAGATGCTAAGATACACCGCCAGATTTGTCTTTTGTGCATGTGGTGAGTAGTGGAGTGAGGCCCATAGAGACCCACTCATGATGCCTCCACACATTATAGCCCCCAGGGGGGAAGGGAGGGGGTGGGGGTGGGCGGGGCTGATAGCATTGATTACTTCCTGCGGAATGATTTGACTGCCAGTGAGCCCATACATGAAGACAGATCCCCTCCCCTAATATCTCTATACCCCCCTTAAAAAGAAGGCATGGCTGAAATACGACCAGAGCAATCCCTCTCGATTCACTACCATGGACTGCCGTAAAGCGATTACGGAGAGAAAGATTTTAAGAAGAACAGAGCAGCACTCGCATACTCCATGTCATCATCCGCCCCAGCTCCATTTCATGCCCCTCCCTTCTTTAAGAAGAACAGAGCAGCACTCGCATCCGCCATGTCATCATCCGCCCCAGCTCCATTTCATGCCCCTCCCTTCCCGAAAGTGATTGCGAATCATTCTGTAAAGAAAGAAAGAAAACAAAACACACTTGTCTGCCACATCGCCGTCCACCCCCATAAACAAATGAGAAGTACCTTGGCGGGGGGGGGGGGGTACAGGGGCGCGGGGGGAGGAAGAAGGTCAGGAGAGGTCCGCGGAAGGTGTAAGGAGGTCTGGGAAGGAGGGAAGGACTTTCAGGAAGGATGGGGGGACGGTCAAGGAGGAGGGAAGGAGGTTCAAGAAGGGTGGAAGGAGGTTTGGGGAGGGGGAATAGAGTGAGGAGGAAAGGAACGGGGTTGGGAGGAGAGGTGAAGGACGTTGGAGGAGTGGTGGAGGGGGGTAAAGGTGGGTGGAGGTAGGTGAAATCTCGTGCGGCATACGGGAAGGACGAGGAAGATGCTTGGGGAGGAGGATGGACAGAGGATTAGGGAGGGTGGAACGAGGTTTGAGGGGAGAAGAAGGAAGGGGGAGGTGTGTAAGGACGGTGGAGGAGGGGTGCTGGAGGGAGGAAGAAGTGGGTGGAGGTAGGTGAAATATTGCCCGGCATGTTGGAATGGGGTGGAAGAAGTTTGGGAACATGTGAACGTGTGTGCATGCCTTGCGCCGTTGAGTATCTTTTAGCTCTTGACTCTATTCATTGTTGTGGAGAAATATTGTATTAAGATTTCAATACTTGAGAATACTTCAGCTCAGTCCGACCGCCTAAGGGTGCGCATGGTTTTTGTCGTGGTAGAGGTGTTAGACTCCGATGTCCTGAAAGAACTTTTATTCATCAGCAAGTAGCTCAGTGGTTAGAGCACCGGTTGGAAATGCACATTGTGGTATGAGGTTGCGGGTTCAAATCCGCAGCCTCGCGCATGGACCCCGGCGGGGCGTTAGAATGACGCACGGTTGGACACACACCCCTTGGGCTGACGCATGGTAAGCTATTACAGACACTGCCTGCGCAGGCAGGGACCACCCAGGGGACTGTCCATGGTGTTGTATGTTGGGTCCCGGCCTATGAGGGGTTTGCCTGATACAGTTAGCAGTCTAATGAATGAGGATGCAGGTACGGGTTTGTGGTTAGACTGCTCAATGACATGTGTGTTGGTTACCTTAGGCTCTGCTTTGGGGGGGGCAAGGACCTTAGGTGGGATGGGGTCCCGTTTGGGGGGAGGGTTGGCTTGGGACAAGCTCTGCTGGAGGATATCGGTGGGGAACCTACAGTAGGGGATTGTCTTAAGGGATCCCGGTAGGAGGGGTGTTAGTAGACAGACTCTGGTGGAGGAAATCGTTGGGGAACCTGCAGTAGGGGCTGTCTGAGGGGGATCCTCCAAGATAGGATGGTCTGGGTCCCATAAATTAGTTGCTGACTGTAG